GGCTCCACGGTCAACACTCTTGGCACCAGCAGCCAGGAAATAAAAAAACGTATCGCGATGGGAAAGTCTGCTGTTAGGGACACCTCTCTAAAGTACTCAAGAGCAACGGTGTCTCTCTGGAGACTAAGGTGCGCCTGATACAGGCCAAGGTCTTTGCAATCACTTATTAGGCATCAAAGAGTTGGACAATGACTAGGGAGGATAGAAGGAGAATTGATGCCTTTGAGCTATGGTGCTGCAGAAAAGTATTGAATGTACCCTGGACTGCCAAGGAAACAAACAGATTCATCCTGGAGAGGGTTAAACCAGGTTACTCCTTGGAGGCAAGGATTCTGGGGCTTCGTCTGACATACTTTGGACATGCTGTAAGGGGAGACAGGTAATTTGAGAGAGACATCATGCTTGGTAAGGTGGAGGGACAGTGCAGGAGGGGAAGACCCTCTATGAGGCAGATTGATTCAGTGACTGAGGTAATCGGGATGGGTGTGTCAGAGGCCATGTGATTGGCACAGGATAGAGCAGGGTTTAGGGCTGTTGTACATAGGGTTGTTATGAGTCGCAAACGACTCGACGGCACATAACAACAACAACAGTACCCACTCATGTTCAAGCAAGGTGTTGTTCAGCTTCCAGATGTATGGGTTTTTTCCCCTCTTTATCCTCTTGTTATCAACTTCTAATTTTGTAGCATTGTGGTCTGAAAAGATGCTTTGTATTACTTCTACATTTTTTTAATTTTTGATACTTGCCTTGTGGCCTAAAATATGATCTGTTCTCAAAAATGTTCCATGCACATTGGAGAAGAACATATACTATGCTTTTGGGGGGGGTACATTAGCATTTACATATCTATGAGATAGAGTTGGTTTATTATGTGGTTTAATTTTTCAGTGTCTTTGAGTTTCTTTGTGGTAGTTCTTTCTTTTCTTGAGAATGGTGTATTGAAGTCTCCAACTACTATAGTAGTGTTGTCTATTTCCTTTTTCAGTTTTGTTAATGTTTGTTTTACATATTTTGCAGCTCTAATAGTGACATTGAGGGGGAAAGACGGATAATCTCCTTCTATACAATTTACAGCTTTGGACACCCAGTGGAGCATCAGCTATGAATTTATTCCAGTTCAATGACAGTGGGAGAGAGAAAGAGTGAAAGATTCCATGTGCTATTGGAAGCAGGAGTGGCATCCACTTCCACAATAGCTTGCCTCTGGAAACTCTATGAACATGTAGAAAGGACGAAAGTTATACAGAAGGTGTCCAGGACTTTCGTTCATAGGGTCACTATGACTAACCTGGGACTTGAAGGCACCTTAACAACAAACAACAACATTTGGTACATAGAAATTTATTATTGTTATGTCCTCTTGTTCTATGGACCCTTTAAGTAGTGACCTTCCTTGTTCTTTATGATAGTTTTGGTATTGAAATGTATTTTATCAGAGATTAATATCTCTACTCTTGCTTTTTTCTGATTGCCATTTGCTTGGTATAGTTTTTTCCCTCCCTTCTATATTTAGTCTTTATCTTCACTTTTCAGGTGTGTCTCTTGTAGCCAGTTCATTGATGGATTTTGGTTTTTAATCCAAACTGCTAATTTTTTTCTCTTCAGTGGTGCATTTAAATCATTCACATTCAGTGTGATTATTGAGAGGTAAGGTTTTACTGCTGTCATTTTGTTGAGGAGGGTTTTTTAAATGTTGCTGCTAGTTACTTTGGTCCATCCTGATTTCTGTGGCACCTCTCTGTAAGAGGGACGTCTTTCAGTTTTTCCTGCAGTGTTTTTACAAACTCCCTTAGGTTCTGTTTTCCTGGGAATATCTTGTTCTCTCTTTCATATTTGATGGAGAATTCTTCTGGGTTCAATATTCTTGGTGGACAGTTCTGTTCTTGGAGTATTTGATATATGTCCTTCCACTCTCCTTGCTTGCATGGTTTCTGCTGAGAAATTGGCACTTATTCTTATCTGTTCTCCCTTGTAGGTTACTCTTTGTTTTTCCCTAGCTGCTTTCAGAATTTTTTCCTTAGCTTTGGTTTTGACAAATTTGACTATGATATGCCTTGGTGTTTTTCTTTTGTGATCTATTCTATATGATGTTTGCTCAGCTCCTTGAATATATATTCTCTCATTCTTCATTATGCCTGGGAGGTTTTCCCCCAGTAATAATTCTACAACTTTTTGGGTGCCTTTACTTGCTGCTTCTCCTATTCTACGATTCTGATGATGCATATATTACTTCTCTTGATGGTGTCCAACATTATTCTTAGATTTTCTTCTTTTTCCTTCTTTATTCTACTTTTTGCTCTAGCACATCAGTGGTGACAATTCTATTTTCTATTTTACTGGTTCTGTGTTCCATTTGTTCACCTCTGTTCATCTGTCCCTTCATCATGTTGACAGTATCTGAAACACTGATTACCTCATATTTTGGATCACAGTTTCTTGTTTTTCCAGAGCTTCTAATCCCTTGTTTGTTTTATTTGCCTTGTTTTGGTTGGTGTTTTAGGTTCTTCCTGGTTTTTACTTCCAGAGTCCTGTAATTCTTTGAGCTTGTCTTTTACCTACTGAAAATATTCTATCATTGTTCTTTTAAATTCTGTGTCAGAAAGTTCCATAAGACTTTCTGACTTCAGGAAATCCATTGATACTGTGTCACTTTTTGGGGTGACATCTTGCTTTGGGTTTGTGTAGAGTATTAGGTAGCCTGCTTCTTATGTGACACTGTTGTGATAGTTTTTTATGCCTGAGGCAATGACAGGTTTTTGAGCTGAAGTCACTGCACCAGAAGAGGATGGGTCAGTTACCCTGCCTGGGTTTCTCTCTGAACTTCTGGCCCAAGGGAAGTTTCAGTGCAGAGCTTGTGAAAGCAGCCTCTTCTGTTGATAACTGTTGCAGACCAAGGCTTTTGAGACTAAAGGCAGTTAGCTGACTGATGTGAGATGATGCAAGGCAGAGTGTAGAGGACACGAGCACAGGACAGGCACGGGCATGGGGCGGGCACGGGAATAGGGTAGGATTGTTGCAGGACATGCATGCAGATGCATGCCAGGCAGGCACGCGTGCCAATTCTTGCCGCTTAGGTATGCAGGAGAACCTTACTCAAATGACTGTGGTCCCACCTGCTCTCAACAGGCCACTCTGGTCCAGCTTCATGCTGGTCCAGCTTTACTCAGTCCACTTTCAGACCTGGTTTGGTTTTTTCCCCCCTGGTACTCCAGGATATGTTCAACACTCTTCTCCAGCACCACAACTAAAATGCATTGATTCTTTTTCTGTCTTCCTTGGTAACTGTCCAGCTCTCAGATGCATAAAAAGTAATTGAGAAGACCTTGGCTTGGATCAGGTACATCTCAGTCTCTAGCCCAGTATCACTGGTATTCAGCACTCTGATGAGATCCCTTACAGTAGATTTTCCCATGCAATTCATCTTTTGATTTCCTGTTAGTGCCAACAGTGTTAATTGTAAAACCAAGCAAGATAAAATCATTAACAATTTTAATCTTTTCTCCATCTATCATGAGATGCTCCTTACTGGTCCAGTAGTGAATTATTTTTTTTTCCTGATGTTGAGATACAATCCATTTTGATAGCTATAGTCCTTGATCTTCTGTAGCTATTGTTTTAAGTCTTCCTCAGTATTAGTGAACAAAGTTGTATCATCTGCATTATGCAGTTGTTGATGAGTCTCCCTATAATATTGAAGCCACATTCGTCTTCATAAAGTCCAGCCTCCTGAATCATCTGTCCAGCATTCAGATTGAGAAGACATGGCAAAAGGATACATCTCTGATACACTTCTTCTTGATCTGAACCATGAAGTGTGCCTTTGTTCTCTCTGTTAGGACAATAGCTTCTTGTTCTAGGTACAGGTTGCACATGAGCACCATCAAGAATTATGGGTGACGATTCTTACTATTACCTGCAATTTTTAGGAACCTTACAGTCAACTGCCTTTGCATAATCAATAAAATACAAATACACATTTTTCTGGTACTCTCTGCTTTCAGCCAAGATCTATTCGACATCAGCAGTGATATTCCGAGTACCATGGCCTCTTCTAAACCCAGCTTACACTTCTGGCAGTTCTCGGTCAATGTACTGTTCTAGATGGTTTTGGATAATCTTCAGCAAGATTTTGCTTGCATTTGATATTAATTATATTGTTTAAGAGTTTTCACATTCTGCTGGATCACCTTTTTGTGGGGGTAATGGGAATAAATGTGGATCCTCCAGATTTCTTGACACAATCCAGAGATCACATGCAGGGCTGCATATGTTTGCTGAAATATGTCAGTTGGAATTCTATCAATTCCTGGGGCCTTATTTTCTTTTCTAATTCCTTCAGAGCGCATTTAAGTTCTTTCTTTATTATCACTGGTTCTTGATCATATGCTAAAAGCAACCTGAAATGGCTCTGTGCCAGCTAGGTCTTTATGGAACAGTGACTTCTTTATATTCCTTCCATCATCTTTTTATGCTTCCTGAATTATTCAAGATTTCCCCCATAGTATCTTTCAGTATTGCACCTTGAGGCTTGTTGTTGTTGTTATGTGCCGTCGAGTCGCTTGCGACTCATAGCGACCCTATGTACAACAGCCCTAAACTCCACTCTGTCCTGTGCCAATCGCACTG